TGTTGATAAAAACACAGCCCGACAGTAGCAGAACCTACTCAGGAGAGAAAAATCAGCTGGATTCTGCCACTGCACAGCATGTGAGCGTATCCATTAGTTTCAGGGCAGGGCATCACAGGCCACAGAGGCAGAACTAACCTAAGCCAGCACCTCCCAGCTCTGCTCTTAAGTCCATCCTTCATATGTCTCAGTGAGAGAAGCAGGAATAATTCCGCATCTGCTAAAGCTGTTTAAGCAGGGCAAAACTCTTATCTAACTCTCACTTGAGCAACATGAAGTTTAATCTCAGATTTGTCCTGAAATACTCCACTTGGGATTGCAACACATCAAAAGAGAAGACAAAAAAAAGCCATCTGAACTAAAGAAACCCTTGCTGACTAGGCAGTACCATTCGTCTCACCCAGACGGGGAAGTGACCTGGAATTGTGTGTTAACACAATCCAGAATGAAAAAGGATTTGCACACGGGGAAGCTCCTCGGAGCCCGTAGTCATTGCACTCAAGGTACAGACAAGGAACAGCTGGCAGAGAGCAGCTGGCAGGGAAGGTTACAGTCGGAAGAGCCCCTCCGGCACAGCACACAGAGGCAACAGAACATTCTTTTTGCAAGGCACGCGAAAGGCTCCACACAGTCTGTCCACACTGCAAGCACCAGAGAGCCTGCCATGCCCGGATATCCCGTCCAGTTTGGCCACTGATCCCGTTGTGTGATTTCACAGCAGTAGCTTCTCCACTCTGTCCGCGGAAAATGGACAAGAGGCCACGCCTGATGAAAAGGAGGGAAGAAGCCACCTGCCAAGGTGAGCATGGCCCGCTTGGCTCGAGGGACAGAGGGGACATCACGGAAGAGCAGAGTCAAGTTGTAGCAGATGCTTTGGACTGGAGGCAGGTCACAAACAGTGAGTTCACAGGGGACATCTTCCACCAGCTTAATCAAGTTACCCCCAGAATAAACCCTGGGTGATCTTTCGGCATCACACAAAATTGATGCAGCAGAAGCAAGATCACAGTCTGAATCTCAAGGGAGGCCTTTCTGTTGCCATGCAGAGATTGTTCCGTCTCTTCCTGAAGAACCTCTAAGTCACTAATCACCACTGAACCCCTTCGGTGGGACTCCTGACAGTCAAAAATCCACTGGCCCCAAGCAAAGTCACTCCTCAGAGAAGGTCCAATCCAATCAAAAGTGTCATATAAACACACAGCGCTTGGGATTTGTGGTTGTATGGAGCTTGTAAGGCGGACGAAAAGATCCAGCTATGCCTTTAATGAATTGCAACATTTTAAATAAAACCATCCTAAAGGTATTATTGTATGTCATTTACTTCAACAAATAACAGACAACAATTAACAACATTTTTGCCTAAGTAATTTCAGCAGCCCCAGGCTCTTAAAAAAAACCCTGAGCAATCTGTAAAAACAATTAGGGCGCAATAACATTAACCACCTCAGAGGATGACAAGCCATTATATTGTAGGCAAATTAGCCATGTTAGCTATTAGTGACTGTAATGACAATCTCATTCCTATTCTGACCACTTTGTAGTTCAAGCAGTTTACCATCTGACTGACAGACTATTCAGCATTTGTCAGACAGGAGATGTTTCCACAGCGGAGAGTTTGACTACCCTTGGCCACTCCTGAGTTGAAATTTAAAGGATGCCACTAGTGATAGATGTCTGGTAGGCTGTGCTCACAACCACAAATGCCCTGAATTTGAGGACTTTAAAGGAACCTATGTTCAGCTGAGGAAAGGATTTGGACCAATAGCTCTTTTAATCAACTTTTAATGCAACTTCAGTTGCATCTTCAGGCTTTTCAACACACGTCCTTCCATCGAAGAACGCAGGCAGCTCTCGTGCTGACACCCACTGCACTGCTGGCAGCACGACTCGGTGCACTTGTAGAATCACAGAATGGTTTGGCCTGTAAGGGACCTTAACAATCATCTCATTCCCTTAACAATCATCAAGCAACCCCACAGCCATGGGCAAGGGTAGCTTCCACTGAAACAGGTTGCTCAGGGCCCCATCCAACATGCGAGGACCTCTCACAAAAGCCATGCATGTAGAGTCCAGGCTGAGAGCATGCTTTAAACACAGAGTCACACACAGTCAAAGGCTTAATCCTGCTCATTTTGTTACTCCCATAAACTATCCTTCATCACAGCTGCAGCAAGACACCGCACACTTCAAAAGAGTAATCCATGGCTATTTACACAGGTATTTTTATTTGAAAACCAGCTCTGGGAATCCTTATTCGAACACAAAACCCTCATTGAATCATTCCACAAGGACCAGGACAGTCTGTGTTCTTGCATTAGCAAGAGTTTACATGGATCTGATCTTTACATAAGGTTTCTGGCTGTTCAGAGCGGAGGAAGGGGCAGTGAAGACTGAGGAGCTACTGGCACTTGGTTGCCAGAATTCAACTCAAAATACTCCAAATTACCCAGATGCTTTCATTGACCTTGCTAAGTCACTTAGTGATGTTGTCTTTGATCCAGGTACAGAAGGCAAAGGGGTAGTAGCCCTTTACTGAGGTTTGAAAAATATTATTTGATCAAGTTAATTACCCAACATCTACTTCAACAGTAGGAGTCCACAAAGGAGTAGAAAAACCCATCAGATGTTGGCTCTGTGTAGCAAGGATCTGGCTATTCAAACACCTGTACAATATCACAAATGCCACCACATTACACAAAGCAGTAATGTGAAAGTTTGCATATAGATTTTTAGCACAGACTAATTCAAAGTTTATGCTTCAAAAACTGAGTAAAACTAAAATTGTTTGGTAACTAGAGTCTGGCAGGAGACTAGGGAGAATGGCAATTGACACTGTTCTTAAATAATATATTAACAATACATTAAAGTCCACTTAGTATTAGACTAGTATGGAAACACACACGACTTGAAAGTCCACATGCAGGTTGTCTGTGAAGCTCTATCCCTCCTTTCCTATTCAAACAGAGACTCACATTCACAGGCAGTTTCCAGCAGAAAGTGAGATTTGGAAGTTTTACAGCAAGCTTGCTTAGAGACAGCAGGACCAGAGCAAAGACTGAGACAGTGTTTCTGTTAATCACCTCAAATATACAGCAGCCTGCCCGACATGGACTTCAATTTCAAAACATTCTATCATGATAAGAAGCAAATTTATGCAGCAAAAAGAGAGCTCTATGTCACAACTATTTGAATCATATAGTATACTATACTCACTACGTATCTCCAGTGTACAATTTCTCTTAAAAACTTGATTTTTTGAAAGAGATTGATTTAAAGCTCATTGTATTTAGCACTGCACCAACTCATCAACAGACACGGATAAGAAACAATAGGTCCTATTATTGCATGAGACTCTCTTCAGTAGTATCTCTGAGATTATCACTATGCCTGGAGAGTGGAGAAACATATGGGCAAGTGGAATAGCTGATGAACCACACAGAGTTTTTGTTACTAAACCACGTGGTGGAAATGGTCTAAAACTGCTTTGTAAACTGAAGCTGCAGCAGCGCTGCGAATCTTCAGACAATATTTGGTTTACAAACATGAAAAATAATAGACCAAACTCCTTCCTACATCATCTATCAGGGTAATTTTTTAAAAATCTGGATTCTTCTACCCCCCAAATGGGGATCTGTAGCACAACAGGATTAATTAGTACGCAAGAAGATCAAGCTAGTTTCTAGTGTTAGTTAGGTGTTCTAGGAAAAGGGTCACGCATCTGTATCTTATTGCTAGTTCTGTATTAAAGACAGGACTTCAACCAGGCCTGCCCAGTGAGATAATATTAACACACCCCTGCTTATCACCTGTCATTGTGTATGTCTCCTGCAGGCTTGGAAGAACTGTAAAGTTTCTGTTATCCCAGCAGGCAAGACATTAACCGATCACATGTCAGTTCCCGTTCATGGCTAATGCAAATACATTCAAAAAAATACTGAAGAACATAAAACTGTACACTACTTAAAAACAAAGGAAAAAATAAAAAGGGGTAATAAAGGCCCTTGGAATTTGGGTCTGATTCATTCTAGCTTTTACTAAAGAGGGTTGGGAGGGGGTTTGGGGGGGGTTTGTTTGTTTTCCGGTTTACCACTTACTCTGATCTTTAATTTTCTACTCGGAGGACAGGGAGAAACCCCAGCTTCCCTCCGGGAAAAGGAGGGAAATCTGCTTCTCTTCCACTTGTCTGCATTTTACCCAGACACATGTGAAATTTTTGCGAAGATGAGAATCCCCCCTGCACACGCTTTTAAGGCAGGGCCATTCAAAAAAATCCTCCCCGCTGCAGAGACCCGGTTCTCCACCGCTATCAGCGGCACCCTGACTGCAACATTCCTCCTCTCCTGTGCAGCTGGGTAAGGTGAAATGGGCTCCAAGGATTATCGCCATTTCCCAGCCACGTCAAAAGAAAAGAGAAAAAAAGGTGCCTTTTCACGTGGTTTCTATAATAAACCGCAGAGTCAAGGACCAGCGCGGTGCTTCTCAAGTGCTCCTCGGAGCGGGGATGCTGACACGAATGCACATCCACGCAGACCTTCCCTTACGCATCCCAGGAAGCTCCACAAGCCGAGCTTTCCCTGGCAGCAACCTGGCAGTGCCCATCTCTGAGGGAAGCCGGGCTCCCAGCCCCGGGCTTTGTTAGCAGCCACAGGGGCTGCCGGTGCAGCTGCTATCCGGGAAGCGAGAAGCATCCTATTGTGCGGGCAATGCCGCAAGCCTCGGAAATCTCAGCCCCCTTGGAAAGGCATCCCTGCGAGGAAAAGCCTCCATCCCCCGCGCCGAGCCCCTTCTCCTCCCCGCAGCAAACGGAGCCACCCAAAAAAAAGTTTTACTGGGCAAGAGGGGCGGGCAGGGCTGGGAAAAAAAACAAAGGGTCGGGGAGGAAAGAATAAAGTTTGGGGTTTGGCGGGGCGGGGAGGGCGCCCGGGAGGGCTCCGGCAGCCACCCGCCTGCCCGCGGCTCCGCGCCCGTCCCCGCTGCCCTTGGGCCGCGCACGGCGGTACCTGAACAGGGCGACCGCAGTCTGGTTCCTCCTCCACGCCTTGCCCTGCTGCAGCAGCACCCCCTGCACGATCTCCTTCTCGTCGGGCAGCCGGTACACGGGGAAGACGTAGAGCCAGCAGAGGACGAAGACGCCCAGGGCGCTGGCGCCCACGGGCAGGCGGGTGCGCGGCCACTTCCACGGCAGCCCCGCCATCCTCATCCTCCTCCCGCAGCACCGCCGCGGCTCCGGGCCGCGCTCCGGCATCAGGCCCGCGCCATGCGGCGCCCGCGGGCTCAGCCCGGCTCAGCTCAGCCCGGCTCAGCTCAGCCCGGCTCAGCTCAGCCCGGCTCAGCTCAGCCCCGCCGCCGCCCGCGCCCCGAGCCCGGCGGGCCGCCCGCCGCCATCGCCGCCCAGCCGGCCGGGGGGGTCGGGGCTGCTGCCGGCGCTGCTGCCGCTGCGCCGCGGCTCGCTCCTGTCTCGGCGGTGGCGGCTGCCGCCCGTCCTCACAGTCATTTGGTCCCTCGCGTTCCCCGCCAGACGATGCTCCGCCGCTCCCCGCCCTCCCTCCGCCTCCCGCCGAGCTCCTCGCTCGCTCCCTCGCTAAGGACGGACCCGGTAAATTTCCACCCCGCCCCGGCCCGGGGGGTGCCCCGGCCCCTCCGCCCGCCCCCCAGACGCGGAGGGGGAAGGGAGAGAGGGAGGGCAGCGGCGCCGGCAACCCGAGTGCTGCGGGGATCTGCTCCGGCGCCGCGGCCGCTCCCGCTCGACCCGCGGGCACCGGCCGAGCGGAGCGGAGCGGAGCGGAGGGAGGGGACGAGGGGGAGAAAGAGAGAGGGAGGTCCCACTCCGGGCAGCGCCGCCGGCACACACCGAGCCTCCCTCTCTCCCGGCGCCGGTCCTTTTCCCCCAGCACCGGGCGCGCCGATCTCCAGCGCGCCCTGGCGGGCACCGACCCCCGCCCAGCCTCCTGCATCCCGCCCTGCCTTCCACTCGTGACTCCCCGCGGAGCCCCCCGAGCGCTCCGTGTCTGGGGGTCCCTCGGGCTCAAGCCAAGGAGCCCCGGAGCCGGGATCACCGTGCCAGTCAAAGTGCATTCTGCACAAAGTACATCCTCTACGGAGTACGCGCAGAAATGTTGGATTAAGTTTTTGGGGTTTTTTTTGGAGAACGTAGCAAACTCGGGGTGGGGAGAGGTGTGTTCAGCAAACCCAAAAGCAGAGCGTACCCCAGCCAGCAGCGCCGTTCCCAAAGCAGCAGCTTTGTATCGGCATGTGTGCAGCATCACCGGCCGGCCGAAGGAGATCATTGTCTCACTGTGCTGCTGCCTCACCTCCAGTCCTGTGTGCAGTTTGGGCAACACAATATAAGACAGATATAAAGCTATTGGAGAGTGTCCAAAGGAGGACCGTGGAGATGGTGAAGGGTCTAGAGGAGAAGCTATATGAGTGGCTGAGGTCACTTGGCTTGTTCAGCCTGGAGAAGAGGAGACTGAGGAGAGACCTCACAGCAGTCTTACAACCTCCTCTTCAGGGGAAGTGGAGGAGCAGGCTCTGGTCTCTGCTCTCTGGTGACCAGGGACGGGACCTGAGGGAACAGCATAAAGCTGTATCAGGGAAGGTTTACTTTGGATATAAGGAAAAGGGTCTTCACCCAGCGGGAGTTGGGCAGTGGAACAGGCTCCTCAGGGAAGCAGTTCCAGCACCAAGCCTGACAGAGTTAAAAAGCATTTGAACAACTCTCTCAGGCACATGGTGTGATTCTTGGGGTGTCCCATGCAGAGCCAGGAGCTGAATTTTGATGACCCTTGTGGGTCCCTTCCAATTCAGGATATTGTATGATTCTGTGTGCCCACACATAGAACGTGTGTGCTTGGGTCTTTGAAGAAAACACACTGGGGTTTATACCCCCAGGTATAAGCATGGGCAGTTGGTGCGGTGTCCCAGACCTCTGGGATTATGGCTGAAGTGCCCAGAGCTTGGAAGAGTTGGTAGAGAAGCTGCCCAAAAGTCAAGGAGCAGAAGCACGAGCCTTGCATACCTACAGCAATGCCCAGCTCAGGCTTTCCATTGGGAACCCACCATTTGCCTGCCAGTGACATGAGAGTGACACATGGGTGATCTTCAGCCCTCCTAAATCAGCAGAGTGTGATCATTTCATGCCAACAGAGTGACTCCAGCAGTAGAAAGCACCTCTCTGTAGTAATCAGGTAGGTTCAAGCATGGTAGACATGTTCAGCTCCTCTCAGTGAGAATCTCAGAGGCAGTCCCCAATTTCAGAGCCCAGTCTCTACTTCCTGGTATAAAAGGCAGATTCAGCCCTGGCTGGTGCCCTCAGTGTGTGTTCAGCATCTCCAGACACCTTTCAGACCCACTGAGAAATGCTGCAGACTCCCACATAACCCTAGAAAGAGTTTTATGTTAGTTAGTAGCCAGCTCCTTTCCAGACTTTTCAGCACATGGAGACTTGGCTACTTCGGGCACTTTCAGGGTTGAGTGGTAACCAAGGGATGGGTTTGAACGCTCAAAACTTGGAGGCTTGAGGTAGCAAGGACATGTTGACAGCCTTGAAAGACAAGGATTAGCCTGACTCAAAGCATGATAGCACAGAACATCTTGCAGAGTTATGTTGATCGTGGTGGGTGATGGGGGGGGGGAAGTAAAACTGAATTCATCTGCTGAAATTATCTGGAGCACAGTGATGAACGGCTGCTGTTAGTCACCTAGCAAAGGGTGGCAAAAGAACAATCCATGGGGCAAGATTCTAACCAAAGCAATTAGAGATTTGGTCAAACAAATTCTGAGCTTGAAAACAGACAACCCCAAATTCTACAGCTCTTTCTGCAAATGTCTTGACCTTACCCTGGATTCATGATTGAAGGAAGCTTTGAAAAAAAATTGAGTCAAGGAAGGAAAGCAAGAAGGAAGTTTGACACAGTTTGTTTAGCATCTCCTGGCCATAAGGCAGCAACAAAATAATCATAAATACCAGCTGGGTGTTTAAACAGCATTTACAGCTAGAGATCCCAACAGATACTACTTAGTTCTCAGTAAAAAAAACAACTTGGAAATCTCAGTGCACTTTCAGTGCTTGAGAGAAGGAAAGACATTCTCTTTCATAGTGTATTGCCATGTAGAAATATACACTGACAAACAGTACATTAACATCGTAATATCTAATTAACACAAAAATGCCAGAAATACATAATTGCATAAAAAATACTCTTTTCATTCATATCTGATATGATAGAGCTGTCTAGAGCATTATAGCTGTTTTCTCTGGACAAAAATGGGAAAAGAAACTGAGGAAGGCATTTTGGTTAACGTCTGGAAAAAATTATTTAGAGCAGGATAAGTATTTTCATTTTGGTGAAGAAACTATTTACCAACAGCAAAACAAGCCAAAACCTGTTCAGTCACCTCTATTAAAAATGAACCATTAAACCTCTGGAGACTAATTCAAAACATAGTTAGCTAGACTCATAATAAGTAAAAAAAAAAAAAAAATAAGGTTTGAAATGTACAAAACTGTATCCGAAATTAAATCCTGACTCTTTGCTCACCTTTAATTAAGAAGACAAACAAACTAGAGGCTCAGTGTTGCTTGGGAAACCAGAAAGTGGAAAAGAACAAGAGAAAGTAGGAGTGACTTATTCTTTCACCATCCAAACTGCTTGCAATGAACTGAGTTAAAATACCACCAATACACACAAGATTTTTGGGATATCTTTTATTTGTGAGTTATTCTTAAGCCTTTCCTCTCCTTTTTCTGAATCTATTTCAGCATGAAACCCCGAGGCTGTTCACTGAATTCATAACAGTCCATGGCCTGTCTAGTGCCGTCACCGTGTCCTGCCTGCTGCCCGCAAGGAGCCGGCTGCATCGAGACAGAGATGAGGCAGAGCTTGTTATGTTGCTACTGGCTTGCCATGGGGAACTGAAAACGCCTGGCCTTGTTCTGCTCTTGCACAGGTGGGAATTACAGATACACCAGGACAAGCTCAAACCCAGGTTTTTTACTCTAGAGTCAGATCTGTTTCTAGGCAGCGTTATCAGTTGCTGTCCTTTCCCTCCGTCAGTGAGCCCTGAAGAGAAGTGCACCAGTGCTTTCTGCTGAGGATGACAGCTTCAGGTGGAGAATAAAGAGAAGGCAAGAATAAACTGCCAAAAATGAATCTTGTTTACAAGAAAATAGTCTGAAGTACCTCAGTGACACTTTGCAATCGTGGCAAAGATGTATAGATGTAGTGATCAACAACCCATGTCTTGAAATCAAAGCAGAAAATTGATATTCAGGCATGATCCTACTCTGCTGAACTCAACTCCATTTTAGTGATAATTGAGTGGCAAGATTTGACCTCACCTCCATTACTTTGGTTCCAGGTATCCTGAGCAGGGTCCATCCTCTACAGCATAAAAAAAAAAAAAAAAAGAAAGAAAAAGAAAAAAAAAGTTGTTCTTGAGAGGTGCCTTTAAAAATCAGCACAGAGGAAAGCAACAACTGAGAGCACGAAATAACATGTCTTCTAAACACTCAGAAGAAATAGTGTGACTATCCTCTGATCAGAAAGAAAAGGCAGTGATGTGGTTTTCCCGGTTTCCCTCCAAAAAGCACCGGCAAAATCCCCTCTGTTCCCTGTTGCACTGCCCTCCTGCCCCTGCGGGTGGAGCTGACACTCTGCTCAGCCAACACCTTTCTCAAGCGTTAGAATCCAGGTTCTCTTTCCCTTGCTCCTAGGCCAAAACACACACGAAGATCAGAGCTGCATCCTTCAAAAAAATCCAGGTTTTGCCTGCTTTCATTTGGAGAATCTTGTACTCCTACAGGCATCGCTGTCTTTCAGCTCTCTCACTTCCAAAATAACAGGGATTCCCCCTTCACTTCAGCATCCCACACACTTTCCTCTCTGCAGAATTTAGCAGAGGAGTTGCATTGGAATCAGCTTTCAGGCTATGTCATCCTTTTAGTTGATGAAATTGTTATCATGCCATATACCTGGTAAATCCATTGTCTTCCAAATGCGCTCAGTTACCACCTGACTAAAATTCCTTGCTCTGCACCGTGCCATCAGCTCTGCAAGTATTTCATGCTTCATTAGCAGAGTCTATGTGAAGGTTGGATTTGTTTTCTAAGGGAGAAGGAAGCTGAAAAGGGTAGGTATTCTCTGTCTAACCCCAGCTCTTATTCCCTGCTGCCATAAATCCTCAGTGTTATGTTTTTTGACCCAATGTACAGGAGCAAAATGTTCAGAAATCATCTCCCATCTGAGCTATTATTGTAGGCCAGCTTTTGTGTGCTGTTGCCTGTGAACGATTTCTCTGATTTCTCTGCATT